GAGTGATGAGACCAAGATACATTTTTTTGTGCCTACATTGAAACATGTTGGTGGCAGTGACCTTCTGTGGGGCTGCATGAGTGCTGCTGGTGTCGGAGAGCTGCATTTCATTGATGGTATCATGAATTCACAGATGTACCACTCTATAGTGAAAGAAAAGAGAAGCTACCATCACTCTATGCCCTTGGTCATCGTGCACTTTTCCAACAGTACAATGATCCAAAACACACATCTAAGGCCACTGTTGTATTTCTGAATTAGAACAAGGTGAAAGTGATTCAGTGGCCCAGTATGTCTCTTGATCTGAACCCAATCGAACACTTATGGGGAATTCTGAAGAGATAAGTTGAGCATCACTCTCCATCCAGCATCCAGGCTCTAAAAGAGGTCGTTCTTGAAGAATGGAAAAATATAGATGTAGCAATATGTCTCCAATTTGTTCATTCCATGTCTAGAAGACTTGGTGCTGTCCTTAAAAATCATGGAGGTCATACAAAATACTAGATGTAGTAGTTTTTTTTGTTGTGTGGTGTATTTATTTTTACATCAACTAATTTGAGTAAAACTGAAGATTTTGTAATCTAAGTTATATTATTAACCTTACCTTCATGTAATGAGCTAAACAAATGTTCTATCAAACTCAGTTTTGTTTATTTATATATACATACATACATACACACAGAATATCCTACATTATACATATATATCCTACACCCTGATAAAAGGGCCCAATATAGGGTGAAACTATACAAGTTAGGTGACAGAGCAATGGGGTACACATACTGTATGCTTTCTGTGTGTACAAAGGAAAGGACACCCAGCTGCATACTTCTCCATCAAATTACCGGTACATCAAAGTTAAAAACATAATAAAATCAACACAAAGAGAAAAGAATTATACAAATTTTACCGGGTTATTATGGTTTCATATACACTTTAAGACTATTACACCTTTTGACGGACTTTATCCTTATCTGATTCTATACCACATTGTATGAATAGGATTTATAATCTCAGCATTACTTTTTACCTTGTTTTTAGTTTTTATGCTGAGTTATATATTTATAATTCTTTTCTCTTTATGTTGATTTTATTATGTTTTTAACTTTGAAGTAATTTGATGGATTTTCATGTATTCTATTCTAATTTGAGGATATACTATTCTATTATTATTATTTTATTAAGTGTTCTTGCATGGCAAGACCACTTACTGTTATCTCACATATATATTCTTATTATTATAGCCAAATTTACCACCCTAACTCCTCCCACAGTTTTTTACACTACATACACAGTAATATTCCGAAACGTGCGGATTGTTCCCGATTGGTGTGCAATTACTTTGTGGAACATTTCGCCGAATGGTTCACAAAATATCTGCGTTTTTGTGGTGAAATTGGTCCCATAGGAATGAATGGTGGAATGCTCAAAACTAGAGTGGGAGCTGACAAAAGCTAGAGTGTGAGCTGAAAAATCAGGACATGATTTCTAAACTGCCATCACTCCCTCATTTTCAAGCCCACCTACACAAATCGTATATCAAAACGCTCAGCTATCCCTGCTGCCACTAAAAATGTCCACGGCTAAGCCATAGTCCTGATAGTTTTCACAATATGACCATTTGTTTGCAACTCATGCCGCCCATTGGCATTCATTGAAACTCCACTCTAGCCACCTCAAATTTAAAGGGCAATTTCTAAACTGTGACTGTGCCTTCATTTTTAGTATTTCAGAGACATACTATGCATCAAAATGTAGGTATGGGTCTTGTGATTCTCCACGCTGTAGGATTTATTAGTTTTTAAAACTACGGCCATTTGAAGACACTAGTCAAGTTAGCAATTTGGAGCAGTTTGTTTTTAACCGCTCTTCTCTGCCCTATTTGAAATCTAATTTTGAATTTGTGACAGTTTGGCCGGCTTCTGGTTAAAGGTTTGGAAATAAGTTTTCTACAGTAGAGAGTATTTGAGGTGTTTCAATTAACTACATTTATGAAAAGAAATGCCATGTGCACTTTTTAAATTTGATCAATCAATTGGTTAGTGTAATGTTTACTATCTTTACTCACTCCAAACACTCCACACAGTTACTCTGTGAACTCCATAAAGTTACTCTGCCCAGTCCAACCTGTTCACAGTTACTCCAGCCACTCCAACCACACAACAGTTACTCAAGCCACTCCACCCAGTTACTCCGCCCACTCCAGTTGTAGACTACTGGTGGAGGCAAGAACACTTCACACAATTTCCCACAGAAATTGTAGCTTTTCTAGTTTTGATTGTTATTTATTATGTCATTTCATAAGCTTAAGGGGATTTTTTGCCATGGATTTTAATTTCAATTTTTATTGTATATGGGTTTTGGATTTTTTATTTTTATACGGTTTTATTATTTTCTTTTTATCAATGATTATTATTATCAGGATTCCATATATTTAATCTACATTATAGGATCCTTTGATGCTTGCATATAAGGATTTTATCATTTCCTTATATATTTATCATGCCCTGGTTTACATAACTGTGGCTTATTCCTTCCTTTTTTACCCATAAAATATCCGCACTGTACTCAATGACCATTCGAGAATTTTACTGCAATTATTAATTTCCATATAATCATACACCTGTATTAATACTAATGTAAATGTTAATTCTGGATTATTTTTTTAATTTAGCAGCTTACCAGTACAATATACAGTCTCCTTTTTTGTGATATTATCTTCTCAAAATCCATGGCAAAATGGCGCCCGCAGATGCGCAAGCGCACTTTATCTTCAACAAGATGGTGCCTGCGTAATGCGCATGCGCCATCTTCCCTATAAATTCAGTTGGCGAACGTCATGGCGGTATTGGCATCCCCTCTTAAGACGTGCGTGGAACAAAACGCTTAAGGAGGAGCCAATACACCATGATGTCACACCACCAGAGCCTCGTGAAGGTCCGGCAGCCATCTTGCTTATGGACGGTCAGTTCGGTTTTTGCTGCTGTTATACCTCATTTACTTGATTCCTATTTGCACCAATTCTTCTGGAATAAAATATTTTACTACTTACTACACTATGGGCATTTTTTGTATGTCTCCCATGTGGAGCCAATGATTTTAAAGAGCCAGCCCCAGAACCTGATCCACTACAGTGTCCAGAGGAGGGAGTTCCTGTCACACAGGCTACTACACCCATCCATCCCTTAAAGGGGACCTCTGATTGACTGGATCCCTTACTACCCAGAAGTACCTGACGTACCACACACCACCCAGAGGGAGGATAATCCTTGGCCTGGCTTAATACACTTCCTTAAAAGGGACCTCTGTTGATTGATTTAATGCATATTTCCATTACGCATCTGGTGAGTGCATATTCTTACCCCACTGTTTCACTGTTACTTGTGTGCTGGGAGTGTTTTACCAGGGGGTGGGGGGTGTCCTTCACTGTAAGCACACTAATCTTCCTCCCTGACGGTAATCACCAGTAATCACCGGGCGCAAATGGCGGAGTGGGTATGGTGCATGCGCCCCCCTACCCGGAAATGCAAAAGGACATATATATATATTCTGATTCTGCACACAGGTGCAACTCTGCAGCAGCATATCTGCTATAGGGTGGTCCTTAAGCGGTTAAAGCATGAGACCGGTGGGAAGGAGTGACAGGACTACAACACTAAGCATTGACGTAACAAACTTAAACTAGAAGTTCACCTTTGTGACAAAAATAATACATGCACTTTTTTTTGCAGGTAAAAAAATGTGCATTCATTATTTTTGCCCAAAGGAGCCTGGAAGGCATTGCACCAGTGATCAGTAGTTCACTAATGCCATGCAGATCTCTTGCAGACCTTTCAGAATATCTGCTGTACTGTTGCTAAGGCTGTCGGGACTAGTATGCACTCATTCACAGAACTCTGTGAATTAGTGACGCGGCTGTGTGGGCGGAGCCCTGCTGCTTTCAAATCTGACAGATAGTAACTTCTCCCCGTACTATCTGTCACAGGGAGAGGGGGTGGTGGACGTGGCTGCAGCTATAGGAACATGTTACATGTTCCACCCTAAAAACGGGAGGAACATGTATCATGTTCCCAACGGTGAACTTATCCTTTAACTGCTTGCCATCCAGCCACTGTGTAAAAACGGCCACAAGGTGGCACTGCTGGGCAAAATCACATTTTAAAATGTCATGTTGCTGTGCCCACCCTACCCGTCCGGCAGCGGGTGTCAATCACCGGGTCCCAGCCAGTCATTACCCGCAGGGAACCAGCGATTGCCGGCAAACAGTGACACAGAGCACAGCTGCATTGTTTACACTGCAGCTCTGCTCCCTGTCAGTTCCTAACACTCTGCAGACTTTAGCTCTCAGGATCAGTGTGTTCCTATGAAGCACACCCCCCCCGCCCCCTAGTAAAACACTCCCCTCACACAGTTAACCCTTTGATTGCCTAAAAAAAGTTAACCCCTTCCTCCCAGTGCCATTAGTACAATGTCAGTGTTTTTTTTTTGCACTGATCACTGTATTGGTGTCACTGGGGATGTCAGTGACCCCAAGTCAGTTCCCCCCCAGTGTCAAAATGTCCACCGCAGTCCCGCCATAAGTTGCTGATCACTGTCATAAATCGCTGATCACCGCCATAAGTCACTGATCGCCGCCATTATTAGTATAAATAAAATCCCAGTATCTTTCCCGCCATTCGTAGACGCTATAACTTTCACATAAACCAATTAATTTACACGTATTGCGATTTTTTCTTAGCAAACACATGTCGCAGAACACATTTTGGCTGAAATTGCTAGTATATTGTCTGAACAGATCAATATCATTGATCAGATCAGCACTATACCAGCGTTCACATTAGTATAGCGCCCCAAAAATGCAGCGTTTGCGGGATCAGCCCCGCCACGTCCCCTGCGTTTATCCCCTACGCTTACCCCCACTGTTTCTTGATACATTGCACACAAAACTGTAGTGTTCGCAGAATCAGGTCTGATCTCTGTTAGCACTTGTCGGTAAATTTTGATTACTCTCATATGCAGCAGAGTGCCAGTACTAGTGCCGCGCTACCTTTTGGTGAACTGCTGAGTTCCAGTGGTCTAGTACATCTTGGTCTTTCACATATCTCTTAGATTGTAAGCTATCAGGATCAGGGCCCTCCTAAGCCTCTTGTATTGAACTGTATTGTTGCTGTATTGTCTCCCGTTATACTGTAAAGCGCTGAGCAAACTGTTGGTGCTATATAAATCCTGTATAATAATAATACCAGCACTGCAGTATGACTTGGTGATGTGGTGAGTCCCATAAGTCCAGTACAAGCAGGTGCGGTGGTGGTCACAAGTATTTTCCCACAGCCACCAAGAATTCACAAACAGGCCCATAGAGCTTCTAGTATCCTTCCGGATGTGCTTGCAAATCCCAATTGACAGCCCACAAATTCTGCATCACCCGTACTTACTTCCCCCATTCACTGCCAAACCCAGAATTCAGGCGGAATAGCAAATTTAACTACTCCATTTGATTTTTGGAGCATTTCTTCATGGAATATCTGTATGCGTTGATTGTGGATCAAAGCAATTTATATGCACAATTTATCGCCGCCAACCCATATTAAAACCTTACCAGACCAGTCGCATGAAAACTCATTACGGTTTCCAAACCCTCAACATGGGCATTACTAAAAAAAATTACTTGCGGTTGTATTGGTCCGCAGACCCGATTTATCATATGCCCGTGTTCTCTGCTGCCATGGCCAGGCATCGATATGAGAGAATAATGTGTTTTATGCATTTCAACAACAATACACTCATCCTCGGGGTGACCCTGAATTTGATTGGCTCCACAAAATTTAGCCCCTCGCAAATCACCTTTACCAAAAATTTGCAAATGTCTATACTCCCCAGCAAAAAAATCTGCATCGATGACTCCCTCATTCAATTTTCTGGCCGCCTTGCAATCAAACAGTATATCCCCAGCAAGCGTGCCAGATTTGGGGTCAAGATGTAGAAGACCTGTGAGAGGACAACAGGCTATACTTATAAGTTTAGGATTTACGAGGGAAAAGATAGTCACGTGGAGCCCCCCAGATGCCCAGACTACATGGGGAGCAGTGGCAAGATAGTTTGGGACTTGGTGTCATCCTTTTTCTTATATGGGATACCACTTACAGTATACGTGGACAATTTTTTTTCAAGCGTGCCACTATTTAACATTTGTTCAATCTTGGAACTGGCGCATGTGGCAAAGTGTGACCTAATGTGTGCCCACCATTAGAAGTGGGTGGATGCAGGGAGGAATATTCTAATGGTGGTCATACCACACACTTTTTCTGGCAGAGATTTCTTCTCTTTTTTTCATTCAGTCCACAGGCTGCATGCAAAAAAATAAAAGAACATAGCATATATACCCAACAAGGACCAGTGACGTACCGGTACATCACTGGAGTTTGAATGATTATACCAGGATGATGCCTACAGCTGCAGGTATCATCCTGGTATCGTTTTTTTCAGCCGGCAATTGGCTTTCATGTAGAAGCAATCCTAGTGGCTAATTAGCTGCAGGATTGCTTTTAAAAGCAGCGGGATATGATGCCCCCCTCCCCCGCTGCCTTCAACGGCCTTCTCGGGCAGTCCCGTGCCATCGGGGGAACCTGAGAATGCAGCCGGTGTTTCTGCCAGCTGACCATAGAGCTAATTGGAGACCAGAGTGGTGCCAATCATCTCTATAGTCTAAGAATTCGGAAGCTACGAGCATTTCATCACTTCAGTTTCGCAGGATATAAACAGCGCCATGTGTAAATTGGGAAAGCATCTGATCACACTGGTTTTGGTTTGATTAGATAATGTAAGGGCAGAGGAGATATCTAGAGTCTGATAGAACCCAAATTTCTCAAAAAAAGAATATAAGACAATGCCCATTGAAGTTATAGAGGGGTATTTGCATTCCCTGTGATAGCCATTAAAAGTGATAAAAAAAAAAAAAATGAAAGGTACAGTGTACAAATAATAAAAAAAAAGCAGAATAACTTACAAAAAAAAAAAAACCTCGCCTCACCCATGCGTGCACACCTGTGTGCACAAGCGTTGACCCTGTGCCAGTATGTAAACAACGGTTGAACCATACATGTGAGGTATCGCCGTGAACATCAGATCAAGGGCAGTAATTCTAACATTAGACCTCCTCTGTAAACCTACAATGGTAGCTTTTAAAGGCTTTTAAAGCGTTGCCTATGGATATTAAAAATGTATGCAGTTTGTCGCCATTGCTTGGGGCATGCACAGTTTTAAAGCATGTCATGTTTGGTATCTATTTACTCAGCATACCATCATCTTTTATATCTTACCAAATAATTGGCCAATATATTGTGTTTTTGTGCATTAAAAGTAAAAAAAGTGTATTTTTAAAAAAAAAATTGCTTTTGAAAAATCGCTGCGCAAGTACTTTGTGCCATAAAAATTGTAGTACCCACCATTTTATTCACTAGTGTGTCTGCTTTAAAAAAAATATAGAATGTTTGGGGATTTAAATTAATTTCCTACCAAAAAATACTGATTTTTTTTAATGTGAACAAAAAGTGTCAGAAAAGGCTTGATCTTCAGGTGGTTTGAAGAGTGAGTGATGTGTGGCATAAACTTCTAATGCTGGGCATGAAAAATGCCCCCACCCCCCAAAACGACCCCTTTTTGTTAAGTAGACACCCCAAACTATTTGCTGAGAGGCATGTTGAATCAATAGAAGAATTAATTTTTTTTAATACAAGTTTTTGAAAAATGATAAACATTTTTTTTTTTTTTTTTTACACAAAATTGTCACTTAAATGATTTACTGCTCACACATGCCATGGGTATATGTGGAATTACTCCCCAAAATACATTCTGCTACTTCTCCCGAGTATGGTGGTACCACATGTGAGAGACATTTTGGTAGTCTAGCAAAGTACAGGACCCCAAAATCCAATAAGCACCTTCAGGCTTTTAAAGGGCTTTATTTCCTCATTACACTTCCTGACTTCCTATCACAGTTTCGGAGGCATTGAAATGCCAGGATAGCACCTAACCCCCCCAAATGACCCCTTTTTGGAACGTAGACACCCCAAGGAATTTGATAAGAAGCATGGTGAGTATTTGCAGATCTCATTTGTTGCCATACATACGTTTTTGGAAATGAAGAAAAAAAACAAAAACATATTTTTTGTATTCTTTTTTTATATGTCAAAGCCTTGTGCGAAAAAATTAGATCTGCAAAATACTCACCATGCCTCTTTTTAAATTTCTTGGGGTGTCTACTTTCCAGAAAGGGGTCATTTGGGGTGCTTTGGTGCTATTCTGGCATGTCAGGGCCTTCGAAATTGTGATAGGTATTGAGGAAGTGAAATGAGGAAGTTACGCACCTTCAGGCTTTCAAAGTGGTCATTGAATTTCAGGCTCCTGTATGTGGCCAGGCTCCCAAAATGTCTCACATGTGGTACCCCCATACTTGGTAGAAGTAGGAGAATGTATTTTAGGGTGTAATTCCACATATACCCATGGCTTGTGCGAGAAAAAAATAATTTAAATGACAACTTTGTGTAAAAACAAAATGCTTTTGTCATTTTCCAGAAACTTGTGGGAAAAAATAAATCTTCCATGGACTCAATATGCCTTTCAGCAGATAGATTAGTGTGTCTACTTTCCAAAAAGAGGTCATTTGAGGGTCTTTGTACTATCCCGGTATTTTAGCACCTCAAGAAATGTGATGAGCAGTCAGGAAGTAAACGCTGTGTAAATTCCATTATCTATACCATAGTTTGTAGACGCTATAACTTTCACACAAAGCAATAAATATACACTTACTGGGATTTTTTTTACCAAAAACATCTAGCAGAATACATTTTGGCCTACATTTATGATGAAATTTTTGATGTTTTTGGATATTTTTTATGACCGAAATGAGAAAATATTGTTTTTTTTTTAAATAATTTTTGTTTTATAGCGCCAAAAATAAAAAGTGCACAGCTGATCAAATACCACCAAAAGAAAGCTCTATTAGTGTTAAAAAAGGACATACATTATGTACCGTATTGCATGACCGCGCAATTGTCCGTTAAACTAGCGCAGCACTGTATAGCAAAAAAATGGCGTAAATTGCAGTTTCTATGCCATAGTTTGTAGACGCTATAACTTTCACACAAAGCAATCAATATACATTTATTGGGATTTTTTTACCAAAAACATGTAGCAGAATACATTTTGGCTTAAATTTATAACTTTGAGTTTACTATATATTTTTTTATAGCTGAAAGCAAAAAAATATTGTTTTTCTTCTAAATTTTCAGTCTTTTCTTGTTTATAGCGTGAAAAATAAAAAGCACACAGGTGATCAGATGCCACTGTAAGAAAGCTCTATTTGTGTGAAAAAAAGGGCCGCAAATTTAGTTTGGGTGCAGCATTGCATGACCGAGCAATTATCAATTGAATTAATGCGGCGCCGAGTAGCAAAAAGAGGCCTGGTCATTAAGGGGGGTAAATCCTCAAAAGTGCAAGTGGTTAAAAAAAACACAGGGAAATGTGGCAAAACAAGAAGGTGAAAGAAAGGACATTAAGTTCAATGTATGAAAATGCTAATACAAAGCAATAAAAGTAAAAAAAAAAAATTTAAAAGTTTGACCACTTGGGGTGCAGGTTTTACTACCTTTATTTTTGCTATTTGGCAGTGCACTACTTTAACTGGCAATTGTGCAGTCATGCGACACTGTATGCAAATGCAATTTATATAATTTTTTTCAAAAAAATAGAGATTTTGGTGGTATTTGATCACTAATGGAGTTTTCATTTTATATCATATAAATGAAAACTCCAAAAATTTAGCAAAAAAATATTTTCTGCTTTCTGGTTTAAAACATATCCAATAGAAACAACATATTCATATCAAATCTAATTTCTTCATAAATTTAGGCCAAAATGTATTTTGCTACATGTCTATGGTCAAAAAAAAATCCCAATAAGTGTATATTAACTGGTTTGTGTGAAAGTTACAGAGCCTAAAAAAGTCTGATCAATTCTAATGTACTGAAGGCCAATTTCATTTCTTGAGGCCCTTAAAATGCCAGGGCAGTACAAATACTCCCCAAATGACCCCTTTTTGGAAAATAGACAATCCAATCCAAGGTATGTAGTAAGAGGCATGGTGAGTTTTCTGAAGTTGTAATTTTTTTTACAATTTATTTTACCTACTGTCACTAATGCAGTACAGTGTCATCATATGACTGGGTGTGGCGATAATCAGGGACATGGGCTGGTGACAGTATGTTAAAAAATAATAATAAATACTTTTTTATTTCATTTTTTAACATTTCTCTTTTTTTTGTCACTATAGTAACACTGTACTACTCTAGTGGATGATCAAGATTTTTTTTCACACTTACAACGATGATCATTTTAACAGCAGTGTTTTAAACTTCTATAATTGGTAAGATACTGGAGAGTTTAATAAAACACCACATAGAT